GATTTAGTAGAAAGTGTCTTCTAGGGTTGCTAACAGACGGAGACCTGGTAAGCGTCAATGGGTGTTCTCTCGATTGATTTGAATTCATAGTGTAGAGGTTGCTGTTGTCTTTCACATTCTAGTGCCCAGTTAATATTTTAAATGTTTCAATCGGATCTTCCCGTTGCCTGCGTTGTTCCATTGTTGTTAAGTTTAGTTCGGTAAGGCGTTCCTCATATGAGATGTTTTTTAACGATGTAACCATTTTTGTAGCCCTCCGTTGTACTTTTTCGAGCATTTCTATCTTTCTTGAATTATGGATTCAGTATTTGAAATGCATACTCCAAGAGTGGATGTTTTATAGATCTTTATAAACAAGTCTTTTGTTATGATTTCAAATAATTTTCTTACCACATACAGCATAGAATTAGCCCTCTTCACTATATTTGTTATATGTACATCCTACTTGAGGTTATGTGTGATGGTTACCCCTAGATCTCTTTGGGAACTTAAGGGTTGCAGTTTCATCGAACCAATGTTGTATTTCAACTTCGAGTAGTTGTTGCCTATGTGTACAACGGTACACTTCGTTGCATTTAGTGGGATGAGTCAGTTTTGTGTTCACTGTACAATACCATCTACGTTCTGTTGTATAACATTATGACTAATGAGGGGGTTTCCCATTATTTTGGTATCATCAGCAAACAGATAAGTCTGATCTAATAGCACCTCTAAGGTCAGTAATGCAGTTACCATACATTGTTAAATCAAAGTCAAATGCAGTGCAGTGCTGTTGTCCTGCGTAGTTTGCTCCCTTAGTCGGCTCTTACGATACCCACGGGATGAATAGGGATGGTGACATTCCGTATTCTTAATCCGTCACCACACGGTTGTATATAAGTCGTGCTTTAATGATGTTTGATGATTCTTTGATGGTGATGACTAGAAATTTCGAGACAAGTAAAATAAAATTCTTAGGTGCTCTTGATTTTTACCGAACATTTTCTTAGCAGAAGAAAGAACAGAGATGTGTTAAGAGAATGAAACAGATAGGCGAAAATAGTTACGATACGGGCAATGCCTTGTGTGGCTATGACACTAAACTCAGTATTTAATAGTACCATGAATATACATTACTATTTAAATTAAAAACGGTTATAAACTTCTACTTAAAGTGTGCAGTTGTGTGCCAAGTCTGAGTAATTTTGTATTATATAAAGATACTGACAGGGATAATGACAGCTTTAGTTTTTTGTCAACATCCTATTCTCTTTAAACTGTGCAATGTATAAAGAAATTTTGTTACTTTATACCATATAACCTTGTCCACTTACTGACCACTAATGCCGGAAACAGAGTTCCATCCGTTACATCGCGACAATGGACAATAGAAAAAACAGACTCGAATTAAGCTGGTTGTAATATGTCTGTTACTCACTTTTGTTTATAAATGTACTCGACAATGAGTTTAGTGAATACTTTAGATTTAAATTTATTTATTTTAAAGTAACCTCACTCCAAAACCAAATTTTGCTTAAGTTAAGACTTGTCTTAAATAAAACTTACATAATTTATAATAATTTGAGGAATATAGAATTATTTCGTATGTAAGTATATGTACAGTTAATACTGTTTTTTGCTTGTTTTTGTTGCAAATTCTGTTTTTTTTTTGAAAATGATGCCATGAGAAACTTCTTGAATATAATGAATTTACATACATACAGAAATAATCTGCTTTTTTTCTACGTAACCCGTCTCATAGATAATTTATATGCTATCTCTACCGAGTGTAGGAGCATCGGTTGAATAGTTCCAGACGGGAGGGAGCCACAAACATCACTGCTCCATCACCGCGCCATCTCGAGAACAAACACTAGCATAACGTACCCCATTCATATACGCACACACTCACACACTGTTTCTATAATACACAAACCCACACAGGTATACAACACGCCCCTGCTATCCCATAGTAAACCTTCAATGTCGTCACAAAAGAGGGAGGCTCTTTCCGCGGCTAAAGACCTGTCTTATGATCGAGTATATAATAGATGTTATTCAAGTCTCTTAATATAGAAATATTATAATATACCTTTCAATTTATTCGTTTTATAAGTAACTAACGGCTCCGCAAGCCTCTCTGAAGTCTCAAGTATTGAACTATTTTGATGGCGCCAGAATTTGGACCATAATTCATTTTAGAGTTATTTACCTGCCCAGTATTACTTGAAGTTTTGCTTTACCCCTCATGACAGGTTAAAACATTTATACAATGGAGGTGTGATGTTCGATCCTTTGCCGTATTCATGTATTTTTTAATTGTAACACTTTCTCCATATCTCTTTAGTAAATAAAATCACTGTTGTAGATTTTATTACACATAGAACAAGTCACTAAATCTACAACTACCTACTAACATCACTATCGGATATCCTATCCCTTCATATCCCAGCAATCGTCCTTTAAGAGGATGAAAAGGAGGGTTTAAGTTTGTATGGGAAATCAATAACTGCTAAACTGATTTAGATGAAATTTTGTAAAGAGATAGTTTGATTCATGAAGGAGGACATAAGCTTTTTACCGCGATAACCAACATACACGCCGGCGGAGCCGCGGGCAAAAGCTAGTAAATAATAAAATTATAATGATAATCAATAAATAAAATATATATTTTTTATTTAGATACAACTATTTATATTGAGCTTTAAAGAAAGTGAAGCATTTAGAAGAACTCGATTTTAGCAAACGAATGTATCAAAAACAGAACAAATAATTATTCCTTTTACTGTGGTATCAACTTAAAACTCAATACAATATTGTACCGTTTGACTAAGCAGAATTCACCTCGAGGTCCTTTGCCTGCAGCCATTACATAATAGTAGTCTCCATAAATTCTCTTACACATTGCAATGCTCTCAGTCCCTACAATCGGAACTCACTAAGCATTCAAATGGTTTCAATACGTTCCGATATGCAGGACTGTCTGCTCCATGGTAGGCACAATGGATGCCAATCTGCTCGGGAATTTGGCTTAGACGCATCCTGCCACATACGCGTAAACCTATAATTGCGTCTGCTAGACATGTCACGTTGAGTGTGGTATTGCCTTAATTACACGTGCGCTAAATGGTAAAGCGATATCTTAATTACGTTTTCATTATACTAGTTTTGTTTTCTTTTACGAACTGTATACAAATGGATTATTAATTATTACATATTGTGTAGCAAACACATTTGATAATATTTTACACTAAAATCGAACCCTGACTACATACAATCGTTAATATATTTTACAATATTTCATAACCGACTTCAGATTAGATATTATTTTTTTGGTTATGTAACAATGAAGAGAGTATTCCTTTCTAGACATTTATTATTTTAGATAATATTGATTTTTAAAAGCCCTTATTAAATGGCAGAATTACTATTGAAGTAGTGATAAAATTTGACTAACAGCGAACTTATATTACAGTTATGCTAGATGTCGCAAAACACGTGTGGAAACATGGCATAGTTAGCCCTATGGATATATACAGGTTATCTTTATTAATTGCTTGAAATTTCTAACCTGATTACACTAATTTACGGTTACCCCAGGCCTTTTCCAATTGAACGATCACGAAGTCTTGTATCAAGAAATAAACACCTAAAGCGTCTTAGAAATCTCTGACTAATGTTAGCGACCTTAAGATTAGTCCCTCGAACTGCGCCTTCAAATGCCACAGCCCCACAAAGGATGCCAATCGTGAATTGCCAACCACAATCATTGGGAACATCGTAAATTATACAGCTTTATAAACAAAGGAAACTGAAACGTCGGTCTCGAACAAGTGACAGGTTAAGATTTAAGCATGTCGTCGATCGTCGTCTCATTTCGATTTATTTTAAGTCAAATATTTATTTATTACATTACGCGATTTATGAAGATATTTTTGTAACTGCAATAGACTATCCCAAATATACATCTCTCAATTAATCGTAAGTAAAGCTAAAAGTATTTTTTTTCAAAGGTTTTAACAATCAAAAACCAAACAATGGTCTAAATATCATTGGAAAAAGTTTACACTTTTATAACGATCGTCGATCGACGTTCAGATTATTCTATAATAGTAACTTGTTTACTGTGTGCGTAAAATAACGAATGTGTAAATGAATTAAGTTTGGTTATACGGTATCGAATAAAATTAAAATCTTATAATTGCAATATAGTCCAGTAATTATGGAATCAATGATCAATCAGCTAAATATGTTTATATTAAAATCTGTATTGGTTTGGCATAATGGAATTGGTGGACCGCTGAAATGAGAAGAGCGACCGCGCGCCACTCGCCACCGGCTTTGTGCACATCGAGTGATTATATTGGCCGACAATGCGTTGTGGTACACAGGTTGATTTCGTATTCATTCGAATGGAAATTAACATAACAAATGTAGCAGACTGTCAATTAATCATACCAAACATTTATAAAATGGTCTCCGCTGTTTACTACTGATATAACATTATCTTATATGTGAACTATAGAGAGTGTGAGTTATCCATTAATTTTAGTCCTTTATTGAGCCGGATATTATATAATAACAGAAGAATCTTCAGATCAGAGCAGTTATAGTAAAAAAATTAACTTAAAGGAGGGATTATAGTAAGTTTTGAGGATGAACGAGAGTACATATTATATTAGAGATATATATAATATTATGCAAAACATAAGATTGAACTCATAAACATACTTGTGTGTTGTTGCCACAGATAACTTCTAGTAGAATGCCTCTGAATGTCCTCTTTATGCCTACTATAAGCCTTTACGGAATCTCGATTCTTTACATTTCTCAAAACCATAACAATTTTGAGATCTCTTAAACTTATGATTCCTTTATACTCAATAAAAACAAAAGTTCAATAACTGTTTTCATTTGTTACAGGTTCTAATCGAGAATGCGGTTGTCTTACGAAACCGACCTCAGTCTGCAACATCAAGCCTGGAACTAATATCTGTTCTTAGTACTAAGTGTTGATCGTCATGGACCGAAGACTAATTGCCGTTTTGGCGGTCACGCTCAACTTCTGTTAGTATCTATGTTGGCTAGTCAAAGCTTCCTATCTGTTAAGAAGGCATCTCTGTTATTGTAGTGGTAAAAATAATATTTAGTAAAAAATAGATTTACATTAACATTTTGTATTAATAGTTAAAATAATTTCAACTGATAAACTTAGAAAAGGCAGGCTTTATGGCATTTGTTTCGAAATAAATGATAAAAATGATAGATTTAGACAGTTCCTGGGCCGTCGAGTCATTATTATACATTATGAACAAACTATCCGCGTCAAGCTACGACTTCTTACTTCTTCTTAGAACATTTCTGAAAATAAATCTAAAAACATTTCGACTTTCAAAGTTATTCGTAAATTTAAAGCATAGGTACTTTGAAAGTATTTTAAGTTAAGTACTAAGTTTTTGCAGTAAGTCTAAGACAATATAGTTACGGTGGCTGACTTTTCTCAAATGTGTCTGTCAAATTCTTTTCTTTGGTGCAAGATAGGTATCTATACTTTAACTAACTTTAGTCGTTCCTTTAAAGAAAAAATTAACAACCCTATTTATTAACTTAACATCCTAAACCAAATAAGCTAAGCTCTATCTCCCCAGATAATAATAAAAGTCAAGAACTTTACATCGAGGTAGACTTTGATTATTGTATTGTATGGAATACATGCTTAAAGCATTAATTCAGGCTTGATGTAATTCGTTTAGAAAATTGTCTAGAAAATAATAGTATACAATTACGTAGTTCGTAAATCGGACGAACCAGTAATATACTGGTTCGTACAACTTTTAAAATTTTCCCTTTTAGAGAGAAAGTAACAAAACTCAAAACTTTCCAACAAATACAAGTGACATTCCTTTCTCTGAAATGAAAACCAGTGTGACTCATGAATCCAGCCCAATAATAATCCTTATTTTACACTGGATTTATGAGCCTCTTTTAACAAATAACTTCTATAGCAACGAAAGGAATATTATAGAGAAAACTATTGCAATATAGAAATCAATCGTCTAAATTCCTCGGACTGCTACAGAAGTTAATCTATCGTAGTAAATTTGCTCGAATATTATACACACAGATTTTCTATGAAGAGGAATTCCAATAAATTCATATTACTCTCTTAAATATAATTGAAAAAGTTTGAATTGAACGTACAGAATGCGTAAATAAAACAAACATGACAATAAGAAAAACTCATGAATAAGGAGCAAGTAAAAAGCTCGGTAACGAATAATGTGTGAACATGTTAGAGGACAAAAAATACAAAAAGGTCGGTCCAAAGTAATTGAAAATATATAGATAGATTGGAATAGAAGAGGGCGAGAGAGGGCTCTGATCCGTATCTAAGGTGGACTATCTCAGCCCACTTGCTGGCAAATGGCGCGGAAGACACAATCCTGGAATTTGTTTCTTACTTTCTAATGCGAGAAGCGTAAAGGAAGTTTTATAGTCATTGTTACGGAAACTGCCATCTAGTTAGTTTATTTTATGGATAATACTACAGATTCGCTTAAGAATAAATTACTTTTATAGCACAACCAATATCCATAGATTCAAAAGCGATAGATTTACTTTTCAACCCAATAGAGCACTCTTTTCTATCGGAGGCGATCTTTACCGTTATGCAGCTACCCCTCACAATTTAATTTGTCGTTAGTGACACATTACCGTTAAAACAATGTTCAGCTGAAACCTTTTTGTAGAAATTGATTCTATGTTGAGGAAAAGCCTCTCGATTCCAATAGTCTTTGTTTTAAAGGACGTTATAAACACGAGCTTTTCTCTCGCCTCTTACTTAGCCTCCTTTATCTTAATCAGACATGAATACATAGCATTCGAAAAACGAATCTGTAGCTTTGTTTTGTTAAAAGATTAGAACGTATTAGGTATTCACGTCGAGAAGAAGTACGTAATCTTTTGATTGATGATTTTTGCACATCAGTTTTATTTAAATAAGATGTTCTTCGATATGTAGTATGTCTGTTGTGTGTGATCAGTTTTTACTAAATTTATATTTTCAAAAATGATCGTCTAGATCTTATGTTCAATTAAATAACTTAAAATTGAGTCAGTTTTTTGATGTTTCGGTACATTGCCTATCCGACCACGGTGATCAGAAAACCGGAGAGTGAGTAAAGTAAACGCAGCCTGCGGTAACTCTACTCACACACCTCACCTGCGGTCCGCAGGAGCAATCTTCTATAATTCTGTGGGGCACTCAACGGGTTGCAACTCGTGTCTCTTGATATATACATACTAAATATAGTTATTACAAATAAATGTAACGGTAAGCTAAATCCATATCCATGCAACTCACAATATTCATCAGCACATCCTCATTTATTTTCATATCGACAACTTTCTGTTAACAAGTCATTAGACTAACTTTAGCCATATCTCGCAGATGACTTTGTTTGTGAACACCCTCTTTTTAAGGCATATGAAGGTACTCTCACAGTACATTTAGGAGTCAATGACATTGAAGTAACACTGTTACAGGCATTTCGTCTTTATCGCTGCATTTGAAGAAATAAATATACATATATTTTTAGGGAGTTGTTGAACATCAATGAACGAAAGCTGAATACACCCATTAATGTGTAAATATAATGCGCACATGTTATTATAAAGATTAAAAATATATATATCCTTTCCTTTTTTCAGTTTCCATTGTTTTAGCTAATGGACCAGTATATGGTGGAATTGAAAGCCCAGAAAATCCAGCTCCTGCACCTGCACCAGCGGGCAATTTCCTTACGCAAACAGTGTATGGATTTTTAGACTTTACGACAACTATTGGCAATACAGTCATGGTCTTTTCACCGCAGTCTGCACCACCACCAGGTAACTTCTCAACATGCATTACTTGATACTCAAAAGTTTCAATAGTGTTACAGTGTTTACAAAACGTACGTTAAAATACTTTTCTTATAAACTTGATAGTTACCAACTATCAACTTTATGAAATAACAAGAAAAACTACCGATTTTGTTATCTCCCGATTAATTACGTAAATTACGTTACGTTACGTTTTAATTACGTTTACTGATTAATTACGTTTTTTAGGAAACCTTAACTTACGTTACGTTAAGTTTTCTTAAAAAAAGTAAAAGAAAAAAGCTTATTACAAATTAATTTAACTACTCATGTACAAGTATACGACCATTAATATGTACCATACCATATTTTCAGAACCACCGAGCACTGAAAGATCTGTGCAGGAAAATATTATCGAAACGAAACCACCTCCCCCAACAGTAACCAGTGTAAAACCTGAGGCAATTAAACCGAGTAAAATATCTAGTAAAGACAAATCCAATAATCCCTCTACCGCAGCAGTAGTATCAAGTGCGGGGTCTGTAATGTCTTCACCACCGAAAAAGGATAACAAAGCTGTAAATGTACCAAAATCTGTAGTAAAGGAACAAAAACAAATCATCACAAAAGTAGAAGTCGTTGCTGGACCATCTAAAATTGTTGAAAGTAGCTCATCTAAACAAGTCCCTCCAAAAAATAACAAAACTTCACAGTCTAATAAAAACAAGAAGAATGATGGCATAAAATCAGTAACCAATATTGTAAGCAGTAAAGTTGAAGTAAAGCAAGGTCCTTCAGCGTCAGTAATAAGTTCGAAAGTTCAAGTGAAATCAAGCAATGGCGATGAGGAACCTGCAATTTTAATCACCAACAATAATATTGCAGAACCTGAATACGATTTTTTGTCACGACAACCTTCTGAATTCGTTGAAGAAACATTTAAAGTGATCAACATTCGCCCTTCAAAGGCCCCAGGACAGAAACCAAAACACGGTCATAAGAACAGACATCAACCTACTCCACCACCAGAAAGTGATGAAGATCATCCCATCGGTTTGGTCACAACACTAGGAGGCACTATTGTTAAAGATGGACTTACAACAGTCCATGAAACAAGTGTTATTGGAACATACATATCAGGAAAATACGCTCAAGTTCTAAACAGCAATTCTAAAGTGATACAGGCTCCTGGTGGACATAGGGGCAAGATATCACCTAGTGCGACACATAGGATACTCAAAACGGTAGCACCGTCTATTTCTAAAAATCACAGGCATAATTTGGAACCAACTCCATCCGCCTCTGACGATGATAGCAACTTCGGAAAAACGACCCGCAGACAAAATAATAACGGAGGCTCGTTCAAAAACCGTCACAGGTCCCAAAATAATAACAATAATAGTAACAATTCTGAAAGTGATAACCAACAAAACAGTCCCAGCCAGGGCAAGAAATTCAAAAATCGAAACGCTTCAAATTCACAAAGGGCTCAAAGGTAATTTTAATATAGATCTATATTAGATTGTTTTGGACTTCGTTCATTCATAGGTGTTGATTTATCTAAACATAATATGTCACGGTCCTACACTAATACAGATTTTTTATTAAAAAGCAATTAAACTTAAACAAATCTATCTTTAAGTCTAGTCATTATTAACATTCTAATTATAAATACAACTTTATTTTTTCTGCATGACATTACCTTAAACATTTACAATCATTACGAGGATCATATGGATCGTGAAAGAGCTAGAAAACTATTAACACTCTTATAGAACCATAAGAACTGCATTGACAATAACTTACTAATTCCATACCTGAAGGAAACTGAATAATATATTATAAAGTGCATCTAAAGTGATATTTTGTATTATTTGTTTCGAAACTGCATAATGGTCAATATTGCACACTGACATATAATTACACAGGCCAACAACAAAAATCCCAGAAACCAGTGTCTCGAAGGATTTTGATGCGCTGAATTTAAATCCAAACTATCTTAAAGTTCAAGTCTTCCGCTTTCAGCTTCAGCGTTTTTTGCACTTTTAGGTTAGAATATCTCAAAAATCTGACATGATAGAGTCTGCAACCGGGTTTGGATTCAGCGCACCAAAATTCTTCGGCCAGTAAACTATGGTTTCTGGAAAGAAACTTTTTCAAATTTTGTTGGCCTGTGTTAAATTACTATCAAATTTATCTGCAGTCAAATCCTTGTAAAACCGCCTGGTTTTTAACTAGTATGACCTTGTCATAATTTAGCCTAACAAAGAATAAGATTTTCAATCTTTTTCTAACTTTTTCCTTTCATTTTCTATTTCAAATTTCTGAAAAAAATATAGGTACATTGTAAAAACCGACTTTTCGTTTCGAGCTCATAGTTAAGAAGTTAATAAAAATTGAAGGTAGAGATTACTCTAGCTTCAATTTTTATTAACTTTCTTACAAATGTTTCTTATTTAAATATTATTTATCTAATTTATATTCCTAATATACATATATATATATATATTTAAATTCATTAATACTTTTCTTAGGTTCGAAAATCATTCAGTATCAGTCATAAATTTTCATTATGAACCTCATACACTTCTAAAAGCAACTCTTTGCATCAATATCAGAATCATACTATTGCCGACTATCATATAATATAACCATAGCATGAATTTATTTATTTCCAATATTTAAGTAACATTATAAAATAATTTCTTATTAATATCCTAATTTAAAACTGCGATCGTCGGCAATTGTATGTAATTTTATTTTCAGTACTCGATATGGACGACCCGCAAAATCGCTTCAACCAGCCACCATCTCTGTTTTCAGTGAAGCGTCTGCACCATCGTATTCAAACAGAAGGAAGAATAACCGCAACTCTGCACACAAGACGACTGTAACACCATCGAGTAACAATGACAGTCAGTCAAAACGTGGATTCAAGCCCCGAGTAAACCCAACGCCCGTGGAACATGTGACTCCAGCACCTTCCACCAGTGTGTATAAATTTAAGTTAAATCGTGCACCAGGCTCTGGACGTTGGCAATATAAAACTAGTCCTAAACCTAAAGTGACTATTCGTAAGCTTACTGGCGATGACGAACAGCAAACTACACCAAATCCTAATCCGCTTCTTGACGATACGCAATATACTGATATATCTCCACAAGCAAGGTCTGATAATGATTTAGAACTATCAGGTTCACAGAGTGGTCCTGGTACTCTTCTTGAAAGTGATGCCGATGACAACTCAATTGAAAAGCCACCTCCAGTAGAAACTTTGAAAGTAGAGATTTCAACCCCTGCTGATTTCCGAGACGTATATTATGAGATCGCTACTATTAGGACTCCTTACACTTTCCAGGTAATCGAATATCAACAGATTGTGTTCTATTTTTACTATTTACTACTACTATTTTTATTCAATTCGATAAATCTTGTTGAGAAGTAATCTAATATAATAATTACTTTATTTACAGGTCGGGCGTGTGAAGAATACTCGTATTGTAACTGTAACTTCAACTATAGAAAAACGTATAGAACCCACTCTTGTAGCTAATTCGCAAAATTCTCTCAACGAACCGTTGACAGAGAATATTTTAGCGACAGCAACACCTTATGAAAAAGACCATGCTCTCCTAGACTCGAGCATAGCTACATTACCTGCCATAACATTATCTTCAGATATGGAGACCCCGCCGCTGGAAACTGTAACTGAAACATTTAGCACAACTCAAAACTTGCTGAAAACCCATATATTACCGGTGGTCAGAGATTCCAATATAACCAGTAGCTTAACTTTCATCCAAACTTATCGAGTTACAAGATTTGTAACAGCAACGAAAACTTTACCACCAATGGACTTCTTCCAATTCATTCCCAGCAAAACATTAAAAGAATTTAATAGCCGTCTAGACGAGGCTGGCTCAGAGCTGCACCTAGAATTAGACTTTGGAGACAGCAACGAGGATGAAGATGGGGTTCCTCGACGTGTATTCCCTCCAGAACTTGATCTTGCTAATATTGGGTCAGATTTCGATCTTACCGAGGTAGACAAGTATAGACTTGCAGAGAATCACTTAAGACTAAAGAAAGCTCATGGACAAAATAAGGGTAACCATTTGTCGGAATCAGCAAATACACCAGCCGCTGCATTAACACCAGAACAAGCTCAACAACTAGCTCTCTTGAGGCTCCTAAATCCAGCTGCTGCTGCTCAAATCCCTGACGTTATCACTACCTCTAAACCAGTTATAAAATTCGAAACGATCTATGAATCGCATGTGATTCCCCTATACGACGGCAAGAGCACTACTTTCAGCACGATCTCTAGACCTGTGGCTACAATTACTAAAACTGAGTACGAAATTGGTACTAGCAGTCTCCCAGCGCTGCCCTTACAGACGCCTAACCCACTATTTCCTCAACAGTTTTCTCTTACCTCTACCCCTGTGGTCGTGAACACAGAAATTACAGCTACCGACAGTCAAGTCTTGAAGTTAACTTTTGGTGCTAAAACGGTTTATACTACACTCTTCAACACCAAAGTTGTGCCAACAGCAGTTACATCATACATAACATCTTCAGTGCCGGTACAACCGACCGGTCTTCCAAGTTTTCCAGGATACTACCCACCGCCATTCGCACCTTTCCCTTACGTAGGTTAATAAGAAAATATTATAATAAGATCAATAGATCAATAAAGTGAATAATATCTTACTGTGTTCACCGAGGTGATTCTGTGACTTGCATGAGAAACGACACTTTTAAGACTTGAATGCTTTGGTGTATGGCATGTGATAAACAATATTGCAACTCGGTGAACAGTAAACAGTGCTAAACTGGCAGAACGTTGAGATTTATAGTGTGTGTAAACATGAAAACTGTTCTTATAAAGGTCAATGTGCCCCGCCCTGCTGTGTTAAATATTAACCCTACGAGGTAAAGTTTCCCTACCTATAGACATGTAACGCAATTTACTCTATAATTAGTGATTGCTTTGTAAATATTATTTATAACTAGTACTGTTGTACATAATTATAAGTCGTTGTAAAACGTATAGTATAGCTGTAGATGTAGATAGCTTTCATGATTGTATTTTGTATTTTTGTACATTTATATCATATTAAAAGGGTTCTATACTATTAAATAAGTAACATTATATTCTGTTATTGCTTTATTTTCCTTCGCAAGTTGCCTTATATAATATACAAAATAAAATGTACTTACATTATGTACGTGCCTTTAATTTTGTGTATTTGTGAATGATTTCCATGTAGGTTTTTTTAGAAGTTGACTTCATCAAGAGTACTTAGCTATCATATGAAATGAAATAATCTCACACATCTTACAGCACACACATCACATCTTACACACAGCTGTCTGATCCCAAACTAGGCAGAGCCTGTACTATGGTAGTCTAAGTAAGTCTTTTCTAATTGTTTAGAGGATTTTCGAGTCGATGTATTCATACTTGTTAGCCCTATCCAAGTGGCTTCTCCAATCAGACTTGTAGTATTTATACTTACATTGGCTACATCGCTCTATCCCTACAATTCGTCTTCAGGTTTAGTTCGAGAGCAATGAGGTCCCGAACTGATTAGAATTGAATAGCTGTGCCTCTGTCTCATTCACGGTTATTTAATAAAATTAGTGATACTTCGCCATAGATTTTTTTTTAGTAGTAATTTTGGATTTACGGATGGTCTGTTCTTGACGTTGTTTCGTTCGTTTCGCTCACGTAAGGAAGATCGACTGGCGGCCTCAATGCGTTTAATTTCTGTATAATAATACGAACAAACTATTTATTAATGTTTATTTATTATAATTTTAAAAGAAATTACTTTTTGCTCATCTTCTCAATATAGAAATCTAAAAGGTCACTGCTTCGTATATCACTTGGTGTTATCAGAATACCGTGACAAATATAGAAAGCACGCAAAAGTATTTTTCTATATTTGTTAATTTGATTTTTACTTTAATTTATGTTGTAAATATCGTATAAATTTGATTGTTTCTTACTTTGTGTCTTTCATGCGTAAACTCACCAACAACCGACCGCCGCTATTTGCCAAATAATCAGCTTCTGCTGTCTTTAATACGTTATAAGTAAATAATAACAATAAATTCCATATTTAATAAACATGTCTAGTAGTAAGAGAGGAAGGCGAAATTAAATAAATCAATTCAGTGACACACTTACAATAAGAGGGTAGAATGTTGAACATGATTCACAACGTTCGATAATAACTTTGCGAAGAACAGAAGTTATTGAAGTCAAAATAGTATACATATTATTTAAAAGTATATTGTGAATAATTGAATAAACGAATAAAAGAAAGAATATTTATCACCGTAAAACATTTACACATAGTTTGTGGGTGCTAAATGTTTCTGGACTTGACTGTATTCATGTCACAACTAGGAGAGCGAAAATGATAGAGGGAGTATCGATAACAGGCCATTGTCTGGTTTGTCATCATATCAGGCCTTACACCTTTGTCACGAATCTATTTATGCCTTATCTACAATCACGTTGGCCTACATATAATTCCAATCGGACATGTCTTCCTTCTAAATAAAAAGAAGGACATTAGTATTAATGAAACAAATACTTTTAAGCGTTATTAAATTTAATGTTTTGTGAGTGTAGATTTAACAAAAACATGGTCGTGGTTGAATGACAACTGGTCATTCTTTCTGTATCTTTTTGTGTCCTTGGAATAATGAGAAGGTGACCTTGTTCCCTGCCTAGGTATTCTTTTAGAAACAGGTAGGTTTAGTACGCAAGGACCAATGCAGATCTTTGATCAGACCAAACCATAACGAAAAAAACGAGTAAGTATGTTGGTTATGGCGACTATTAAATCGCTTATTTTAGCCTAAACGGATTTAGTCAAGATTATTGTCTGTAAAAGAAAAACATATATAAATGTTTCACTAATGAATGAAAATATCTCTTGGGTATTACGAAAATAGGATCTTTACAAATCCTGTTTTCGCATTAAAAATATATTTAATTACTGTTCTGAAAGTTGTTGTTCAGAAAGCCAAATCTTATATAAAATTGTCGCAAAGATTAAAATAGATAAAACAATTATCACTTTAAACTCATATCAAACATTTATAATGTATTGACAATAATTCGTGTGATTTCCTTTAAACCAGACATTAAAAAAATACTGTAGGTTAGTAAATAAAAGAATACTGATAGTAGTCACCTCTTATTCTTTTTTTTATGTTAGAGGGGGCAGACGAGCAGACGGGTCACCTGATGGAAAGTGACCATCGCTGCCCATGAACGTCTGCAACTCAGGAGTCACAAACGCGTTGCCGGCCTTTTAGGAAGGAGTACGCTCTTTTATGAAAAAAGTTTTTTTATGAAAAAATAGTTATTAAGATTTATGTTTCCACTACAAATGTGCTATTTTCAATAACTCAAGACTGTTTGCGATTCACAAACAATCTAAACGCTTTGCGAAAAAAAAATCCGCCTGCAGTATTTCCGGAGTAATACGACATAACCTCCAAACCTTCAAGAAAAGGTCAAACCAAAGGTCGACAATGCACTCGTGACTTTAGTTGCAGGTGTCCACTGTGTTGCACTTACCATCAGGAGAGCCGTCTGCACGAAAACTAAGTTGCCTTTATGATGTGATGAATCGATGATTAGACAAAAACGCCACTATTGAAGTATTTTAATAACTATTATACGACGTATAAAAGACACGACGAAGGCATGACGTATGGACACAATAGCATTACGTCTTTTTCAACAGTAAGTGTTTATTTGCCACACACGCAGAGAAGAAATCGTCGAAATCGATCTAGCTACAGTTGTAGTCCAGTCCAGAGCTTCTAAAAGGAAAGAAAAATATGCCAGTATTTACTTTGTTGTTGGTTCAACCCATTTGATCAACGCAGGAGTGTTTGTAGGAGTAAATCTGTTTACAACCTACTGTAATTGTACAGTTCATTTAGATCTTATGTATTGATTTACCATAGACAGTATGAAACTTTGGTCTACATTTTGTTATTATTACATTAATAACGGAAACAAAGTATGAATATGAATATATATACACTCGTCTTGCAAACGAACCATCATCATAGAAATATATCTTTTCTATTACGATGTTGTGTGTTACTTCTAAGACATTAAGCACAATATTTCACATTCAAGTGAAAGAAGCAGAGGGAAATTCTTATAAGATACATGTATAGAGTAAGCTGTACTATTGTTGGCGCCCTATTAGTCATTGGCACTCTTAATTTTAAACAAAATATTAAGGCACAATGTGTTAAAAAATATTCAATTGATACAGAACTTTTTATGTTTTTGAAGCGTACACAAACCAACCTTTTTTTTTTTTTCGACTAACATTAGTTTTTATCTAGTCTACAAAGCCAATAACATAGGAGCGAATGTATTTAAATATATACATATTATCTTTAGTCCGTAATAAAATTATTGCAATTTTTTCACAGAAAAATATACTGATAGTTCAGGTTCTTTCGTTTTTGTTACGGGTTACCACCTCACCGGGCCAATACCGTATGGCGGTTTGTATCATCCGATACATCAGGAGCCACGCCTGTGCAGGTAATAGCGATTATAACAAACTCATATCGACAAAGATAAAAACTAAATTTTAACTACCTCCATGTTACTATATTCTAACAGCTAAAATTATTTTCAACTGGAACCCCTAAAATTATTTCTTAACATTTATTAGACATCTATCGAAACCAGATATAAATGTTTCTAAATAAACAATAACAGTTTGTTACGCATAGACATGTAAAAATAAAAATAAAGTTCAATTCCCGCCTTTTGTTGCATTGCCTTGACGCAATATGTTGGAACTAAATACCAATTTTCCACAATAAACATTTGCATTGATTTATACATCTGCATGAAGCGTAGAGTAATGTGCTCTTGGATGACTGTTTTCGTAACTATTTATTCGTACATATTTGCAAGTGCGAAATTACAAATTCTGATTTGTCTGTAACGATTGTAATATCTCTTTATTAATGGAAATATTTATTATTGTTACCGTCACTAATGTTTACACAACCGACAACTACATTGCTTACACAAGTTTTTTTTTGTTTATTCCTAAAATGGGTGTCCATGAAAATGGCAAATGGGATACTAGCTTTAAACAGTTATAAAAGGTACTTGTGTTTGGCATTCAATTTTAAAAAGAACTAAAAAATTATATATTTACATAAAAGTTTGTTTAGTTTCAATTTTCATATATTAGGTATCAGCTCCTATTCTCATTAAAGCGTATGGATATATGTTTTATGTAAATTTCATCCCTCGGAAACATATTTTTTTTGTGATAAAAACCTATGTGTTAATCCATGATGTCAGCTACCTCCATATCAAGTTATTTTAAATTTAGTTCAGCTGTTTGTGCGTGAAGAAGTAACAGACATGCAAACACACACATACACACCTCTTTAAATTAAATTAAATTAAATTGTTAATGATAAGAGAGATAACATCTGAAAAATTAAATGTCGTAACTTTTAACCAATATATTTTTTTAATTCTCTTCAAAATGGACCTAATGAGTGACTTCCAGTGTCTCTTGTGACACTTTTTTCTGCTAGCTAAATAGCTAGCTAACCTTCTTCTGTAGGCATGATTTACAGGATCAATTAATACATTATTTTTTGACGACCGAATGGCGTAGTGGTCTGTGTAACCACACACTGACTGCTATTCCAAAGGTCGCGGGTTCGATTCCCGCTCAAGTCAAACATTTGTGTGCATGAACATTTAATGTTTGATTTGGTCTGGGTGTTTCTATGTATAATAAGTATGTATTAACAAAAAAAAAAAGTATATATGTATTTCTATCAGTTATCTAGTACCCATAGCACAAGCTCTGCTTAGTTTGGGACTAGATGGCGTTGTGTGAATGTGGTACAATATTAATATACGAGTATATAATATTATTGGTGGTTTTACAATGTGAGTACTACGCCCTTCATCCTCTAGCCAAAAAACTTTCAATTATTCTTTATATATGTGGATGGTTTCAATGCAGTTGTAGGAGGTTAAAAGTCCTAAGGTAGTTCAACAGCTATGATGCAATTTTTTCCCGTCAACCCAAATCTCTGATCAGTAGCGGTCACGAAATGTGACCGAAACCCTCAGCATAATCTTCATCCTGCTTATATTTACATCGTGTTTTGGCAGCTTACTGAAATGTTTTTCTAGATTTTTACGTAATTAGAAAAATATCTGATACAATCTAATAAAATTCACTGTGACTAAAATATTTATTCATTCCAATTTTGGATGGCGTAGTGGTTTAAGCGGTCGCCACGCCGCTTTCTACTACGCCGAGTGTTGTGGGTTCAAACCCCACATGGGACGACACTTTGTGTGATCCACAAATTGTTGTTCTGAGTCTGGGTGTTCTTTGTGTCCGTTTCATGTATGTTTGTAAAGTCTCCCGCGACAGAGGATATAATCCTAATGCGAGAGTTGTCTTTTTTAAATAAAGAAAATAAAGAATTAAAAAAATATTTTTAAATATGTTTCCGGTCTATCTAGATGAAAAGTTGTACGAATGCAGCCGGTTTCAGTGCTCGCTGATTGAACAAGGTTAGATGAAATCGGCTTATCGTCCACCGATGCGATTGCGAGAGGGGTTGGGGAATAATTTCATTTGAGTATGCACTGGCCGCGGCCTGAGCCGCTACCCGTACTGTCATGCAAATTCACAATGTGCCTCTACATAAAGCACTCTTCTAGTATGCATAATAACTGAAAAAAGTTAGTCCTACAAGCAAAGGATCTGTGGAAATGAAATCGAAATGCAAATGCCTTGCATGCGTGATATGCAATCTGTATTGTTGTTAGATTGATTTTAAAACTTATTAAGATAGTTGGAAAAATTATCATGTCGTATTAGAAAAAGTAGTGTCAGTTCATGCAAAAAATGTGAAACACAATAGTCTAGCATACTTAAATTCGTTAAACTGGTAATAAATGTAAAAAAAACAGTGACTGACTACTAATAAAATCATGCTAATATCAAATTCGCTTTGACCACGGGCACACTGTCTCTAACAAGCTGTAATATTTGTTTCACATTCAAATTTTAAAAATTTCAAAAGTTACAATTCTCAGTTTTCTATGTCATATTTGCACATGCTCTTTTGTGAGAATGTAGATAAAGTAGCGTAATTATAAGCGTAGCTCAAGTGATCTATGTCCAGTTATAAAACAAGATTATTGACTAATTTTAATATTTTTTTGTAACTGGACAGAGATCACAGAAAAGGATAATGAGGCAAATGACCACTATCAATTATACATACATACTTCCATATACTCACGTTTTTTATCCCTAATTGGTATACAGAGATGCACTCATTTTGCCGACGATTACGGTCGGGCTCATTAGACAATATGTGTCCTGGATGAGAATTAAACCTACGACCTCTGGCTAAGCACTCAGGATCGCTAACCACTTAACCTACCGGCCCGTTTCATCTTTATTCAATCAATCTTATAAATTTCTCAATAAAGACAAAACTATACCGAACTATTTCACAAGAAGAAAAAACATAAATGAAAATTGATACCATGGCGCAAGCATTTCCTTGAGAATTGTTTTATGAAAATCCGGAGCAGAAAGAGCGATAACGTGTCTATTAAAATCAAGAAGTAAATTGACATTAATACAGGTATAATAACAAAGATTAAACATTGATAAGATATATTATTCCAAGTACACGATAATTTCCTGGCAGAAACAAAGCGTACTGACCACCAATGTATAGTCATTATACAGTGATACTACAATTAACAAAAAAAAAACCTTAAAGGAAAACATGTTCAGTCTTACGATTTTAACATTGGTTTTGACTACGAGTCTCATATCATGTAAGTAAGTACTACTCGTATTTCAAATTAGCATAACTATTATTTACTAGTTACAGAATCTTATAATTGTAATAAGTTATTACGAAGTGTGAAATTCGCCAAATAATATACAGTTGTACAATTTTTGATACTTAATTCAAATTAAAGTAAGTTAACCTATTTATTTTGTGATAATCAACCGTAAAAATAATAATTTATAAAACAAAAAGTGTAAAGCGAAACAAAGAATTGAGATATTGTTACGATATGAAAAATCGAAAATGGTGTTATTCTATGTAAACACACACCTAAATTATGTATGTCCAGGAGGTTAAACCGATATAAAGGATTATTTATATGACACTAGAATAAAGTAACAACTAGGTATTCCATAACCTTCAAACGATTTTTTTTAACTTTCTTTTAGGTTTACATCCTTTAAGGTCATTGGAAATTGAGTAAACTAAAAGGTGTACACTAAACATTGATTTATCTAGAATCAATGACTGTTTAGCAGAATGAAAACCATTTGAAGAGACATGAAGATAATGTTATCGAAACTTTACTACTATTAATACAATCGAGATCAATCATCTATCTCACATCACATCAACAGCCTTTAATAGTCCACTGCAGGGCATAGGCCTCTCCTTAGAAAGGAGGTTTTGGCCTACTATACCACGCTGGCCAGACGGGTTGGTATAGGGTTTGTGTCAAGTTTTCCTTCTTTTTGCAGTGCTGGTGTCCTGCGTTGTTTTGCGCCCTTAGTCGGCTTTTACGACACTCACGGGATGAATCGGGGTAGTGACATTCCGTATTCTTAATCCGTCACTACACGGACGCTCATCTATCTAGCTGAGTTTAATTCATTATATTTAACAGAAAATTAAATAATGCTTAAGTAAATAAATATTTTTTTCATGTTTTCTCCGGGCTTATGTTAGTCCTGAATACCGTCCAAGGTCTGGGGTTACTTCCTTTGGACCTTCGAAACTGATTTGTAATTTCAGTTCCTGAGACAATGCGATTCAAATTCAATTTGTTGTATCGACAACGTATTGATCTTTTCGTTGTATTGTTAACAACGACATAAGTCCTTTTAGTGAGACACTGGTCACAGCCCTTTCTGAGCATTGTAATTAGTAATCGCATAGCAGATTAGAAACAGACCAAAATCCTATTTTTAGATTACTAGACTAGGAAGGACTGGCTGAATAAAAGACATCTTAAATACGCACGGGAGAAGACAAAGAAGAAAAAGAATTGATAGAGGTAAATATATACTGCAGTGTATTTAATATAGAACAAAGATGAACATTGACAAATCTGCACTGGGTGAACTAATGTCTTTCTCTTCTATAATATCAGTATGCTATTATATATAAAATTGAAGAATTGGCGAATGGAAGCGAAAATATCAAAATAGGTAACATTTCCCGATTCTGTTTACAATTTTTATCAAGTCGCTGATATCAAGGTAACCAAGGTACTTTTTACGTATCTATATCAACATTACTGATATCAGCTAATCCTCAATTCGTAAATCATTTATTCTTTGTGTTCTTTTATGTCCAATATGAAAAAAAATACTTTACCACTTGTATAAAAATTCTAAAATTAAATACTAATAGGCACCAAACTGTTATCGAAATCAGTGTCTCGTATAGATCAAAACTATTAGGTATTAGGTTTTAAAAAAACTTTTCAGAGCAGTGAATTGACGTTTTCTAAGAATAACATCGACTACATCCTGTCATCTTATTTCCCTGGTTAATCCTACTCTGCTTATTCCACCACTATTATGTCTTTTCTTTATCTTGTTTATCTAACTTTTTACAGTAGACAGTTTTATCTAAACATTTCATATACTTTGACTGGCTTAGTGGTTCAAGCGGTCAACTCGCCGCTTCCTACTACGCTGAGTGTTGTGGGTCCGATCAACACATGGGATGACACTTTGTGTGATATACAAATTGTTGTTCTGAGTCTGGGTGTTCTTTATGTCCGTTTCATGTATGTTTGTAAAGTTCCCCCGCGACACAGGATATATTCCTAATGCGAGAGTTGTCTTTTAAAAAAAATAAAAATAATATACTTATAAATATAAAAATTAAATTAAAGGTAAAATGGTTAGGACAGAATGAGTCAAGAAACAGTTATTTATCTATTATAATTATGAACTCAGTTACAGAACAATCAAAGGACGCGAGTCGATGTTTTCAATTCACTTGGATGGGCCATAAATTTAACAACGGAAGTGTATACATCAACGCAACTTGCTATGATGCGACCAAACGCAACCCAGGAGTACCCTGCGTAAAGCCTCTTGTTGTTTCTTGTGAGTCGAAAACTTAAACATCTGATATTTTGTCATTTATCTGTTGAAAATTAGTACCTACTTACCACGTGTCAAAAAAAATACCTAGAAGGAATAATCTTTGATCAAGATTCAAACGTTAATATTAAAATCATTCTACCGTTAATGAGTAACATAATCTGCTGCAAATTATTGTCAAATTTGAAGTAATACTTCTAAAAACGTTCTCACCAGCATTTTCTATTGAAGACTTTTAATTTCAGTTGACGGTTCATGGCCTGATGTAAACCATATATGGCAAAATTATCCTCAGGCGTCTTGTCTCTTGGCTGATGGTGACGTCTGTGCAAGATACACGTATTATTTCGAGGGTCACGGTAAGATATATGTAGAGTTACTATAAAAAGACTACACAACTAAAAAACAAAAAACCTCTAAATCTTTATATTAAATGGCAAAGTAAATATATAAAGTAGACTGGAAACCAGAACCTTCAATGAAGTACCTTAAGGGCCTTTTTTTAATTATATTGTTCCATAACTCCTATAATACATAGTGATAAAGTGAAATCACCTTTTGTCTGATTTTGATCTAATACAAACATACATATATTATGTTGCAATAGAAATTCGCTAGAATATCTTAAATACAATGAAAATTATTAACGAATAGTAATAACACATAAAACCCTGTCAGTTTATTCTCTTTTTAAAAAAAAATTATAACCCATTGCTTATAAGATTTGGTACCATTCTGACTATTTTACATACATAAATAAAGAACGACTTGTCCCAGACTGTAATTTTAGATTTCACTATTAATGCACTAACAATTTTACTCTAATAAGTACATGTAATAATAATTATAATGATGTTGTATTCTAATTTACAGCTGACAACTCAACCTACTTCTGCACGAGAGCTGTCGATAATCGTGGCATCGCTATCAAAAGTGGTTGTTATCAACAAGTTAATGGAAGCTATTCAACTGAAGTTTGCTTATGTCGGTCCTCGCCAGGCGAAAGACCGTGCAACAACAGTTTTGTACCGTCACCTAAATGCTTAACAATTGTACTAATTGCCATAGTTATTTTTCATAATTATTTTTCTGTAAATATTACCTAAGAAAATCTATTAAAATAATAATAAATCGCGGCTAACTTTAATATAAGGGCACATATAAAAACATTTTACGTTCCTAACAAATAATAGGTATATCTAGACTTATGTGTAAGTAAATTATAAATTACATGTGTACCTATACCTACTACCGTTATTAAAATTTAGTACTCATTTTCTATTCATTTTTAAAAAAAATATACATGTACAGGCCTTGGAATTGTCAATGTTACGATTAGCCTCACTTGCTATCTGCTTTCGATCTTACGTGCAAAATGACTTTTGCAATGTGTATGGTAATAATACCATAAGCATGACAACTACAAAATAATTGAGTTGTTCAATCCGGAGGTCCAAGCTATTAACATTGTCTTTTTTCTGGACATCGGCCTAAAACGAAATTAAACGAGGACAAAATAAAACCCGACGAGACGTCAATCACGATAGCGGAACTAATACGCTGATAGAGATTAGAAAGCTTTGGTAACAGATGTGGACTTTAAAGAATATTTATTCAGGAAATTCTTGAAACGAACCAGAGAATACTAACAACGTAGTCAATCAAAAAAGAGCATAGCAAAGGAAGTTGGAATACTTTATCATAATAATAAGCAATACCTATTTTATTTTCTGAAAATATTTAAATTATAGTCAGTCTATTTATAAATTTGTTGAAATTGATAATCATTAAATGAATATGACGTGTATAATTATGTATTACAGGCATTGACGCGCTCACAATAAGTACATACCTTTGAATGCCTGAGCTTTCGACCGTCACAAGCTGACTGGCTGAATATAACGTGGCTGCCAGGATTCAAGATTGAGGCTATTCTCTTTTTAAGTTTTATACGTTGTACACGAACTGTTATATTAAAAAAAAACAATTAAACTTGAAAAGGAATTACATTTTAAACCAAATTATAAGAAAGGGGCAACTGGATTTAATTTAAACTTCAAACAATAATCAAGAGGGAATGCACGCACGATATCATATCAAATAAAATCAATTCAAATTCTTGGATAATAAACAATCAAGATTAAATAAGAAAGATTAAATAAAATAGATATGATAAACCTAGATGTCATTCTACATAGAATTTCATTACCGCGACATACATTAAAACGTATTAATCGTTTATTAAAAAAATGTGTTTGTTATGATGATTTTTACAAACAAAAATTGGACACAAAGCAGAATGGCTCGATTGAACTTTATAATATCTGTTGGACTTATCCTGACATGTAAGTACCGTTTCCTTAAAGTACAATCCAATACAATAAATTGAAAAAAAACCCTTTATTGTATTTATTTTCTTCTAGTCCTAGCCGCCATCAGTTGCGGATAATTAGGTAAATTGGCAGACTAAATTATCTTTGACAATAGTGTTAAGGAACTGGTTGATTTATTTTTCGCCGTAGTGCTTTAATGATACCAATAAAAATATTTTTAATATGAGTCTTTTCTACACCACATTCTTCAGATAAATACTTACATGTAAAAATAAGTTCCTGTAAACGACTTTTTAAGAATATTAAATTATCAGCGGTTAAAATGTGTCACCAAACAATGTGTAAAAAGAATGTCAAAAAACTCATTTTCTACCAATATTCAGGACCGGATGTCGTACTGAACGGCATTGATCTCTATCGGCACATGAATCACTAATTTAGACATGTTTTATTATCTGATTATTGTTCTTTGTTGTTCATTCAGTTACTACCAATCATATAAATATTTGTAGTTATTGTATTGTAATCCCAATACTCCTGATTGGTGTAGATTGGTTTTGAATAGATACGAAGTCAGGTGGTTCGACACTAACCAATAGCAAAGTGGGGATGTTTAATCATTTTTAACTCTTTCCACCCCTTTTAGTTACCTGACGTTGACTTAAAAATGGCCTGATTAAAATTTTATTAAAGCTATCTTAGCCTGTGTACATTTATTAATAGATGCCTAAAAAATTGAATCTTCTTACAAAAAAAAACAAAAGTGGCTTAAATGTTTAGAATTTTTGAACTACCTATGCAATATTTATCATGGTGAGAAAATAACAGGTTTAGGGATGTGGAGTGTTTAAAATTACATCAGATAATTTGTGGGCATTGTGAGTATCTATTATATATATATTATAAAAGGCTTTTCGCCTCTTTCTCTGTATAAAGTAACAAAATAGACCAACTAGTTTATTTAGTGAGGCAGAAAATGAGCAATGATGCTATTTAAAATTACTAAAAGCTTAAACAACTTATTGATTTAAGTTTTTTTTTTAAACAAAATGCAGGTGTCGTCACCCTTTGATTTTCGAACTTAAACGATATCTTATAACAATAAATCTAACAAAAATATTTTTAACGCTTTTCCTGTGTTTTAAACAACCATAATGAAGTCATTTGAATTTTACAAAAAATATTTAATCGTAGCAACACCTTAGCTTTTTCATATAAAATACTCTAATAAATTAATACAGTTATAGAACTGATTACTTACATATTAGTCAAATTTAACTACGAAATCAGTTTTAGTTTAAGGGTAGGGAACTTTTCATTTGTGTCCCATATTTTCTTCAGTATTAAGAATGCTGGTTTCAATTTAGAATTCTTTATTTTACTTTCTCATACATTAAACTTTAGTTCGAAGAAGGCGAAATGACTTTTTTATTTTATAGAGGGAAAACGAGAAGACGGGTCACCTGATTGGTTAGAGGCTACCACTAAATATAGCATACTGTAGTAAATACTAAATATATATACTAAATATAGCATGCATGCAAGGCGTACTAGGCAACTTATCGTGAGTGGCTAAACTAACTGAGTTCCACTTACATTGGCACAAATGCACACATGCAGGGTTACGTGTTAAGTCGATCTATATACGTTACAGGGTTGTAGTTGCCACCATCTCTGATAGATTTCACTATGAAATACCATATCCCAAGCCTATTTTATGTCCGTGTGGTGACGGATTAAGAATACAGAGTGTCCACCACCCCTACTCTTCCCGTGGGTGTCGTAAGAGGCGACTAAGGGAGCAAAATACGCAGGACAGGCAACAGCACTGCAGAGAGAAGGCAAACTTGACACAAATCCTATACCAACCCGTCTGGCCAGCGTGGTGTAGTAGGCCAAAACCTCTGATACTGTTAGACGTGATGACCTAAGATGATTCTAAGGACAGGCCTATGTCCAGCAGGAGACTTAAAAGCCGTTCATGTGATGTGAATCATCAATATCATTATCACTTCAGCTATAAGGCTACTGCTGGATAAGTAGGCACACAGAACCTTTTTCAATGCCCTAGGACGCATTCACAGACTACTAAAAATATTTACAAGATATAACGACGAAAGCGCCTTTCAGTTCGTAGCCGCAACTTGAAGTATTCATATTGTACTGAGCAATTTATTGCCTCGCGAACTTTATCTTTCTTCACAACATCTTTCATTGGCCATTTTCGTTTTTATCACTCACTTTTCAAAATATCTTCAGTGCAGGCTTCGTTGCGCTCAATCGACCGCCGCAAGCTCGATGCTTCCAATTCACTTGTTAGGTCCCAGATTTAATAACGAAAGCGTATTACTCTAAACGCGACCTGCGCGGAAGCCACCATGCTCTCCAATGGAATACCTTGTGTAAAACCACTTGTTGTTTCTCGTAAGATTATTATTTATATTTATTGTGTTAATTTGAAAAAAAAACTCAAATTTAGAAAAACGAAAATATATATAGTCCAGAGCTGGGTATTTTAATTTATAATAATTTGATAATGGTATATGGATGGATACCTAGTGAATTTGGAATTATTTTTGTACAGAAATTATTTTATGGATGACTTAATTATTTCAGATGACGGATCATGGCCAGATGTAGACTACATTTGGAATAATTATCCAGATGTATCTTGTATCTTGGCTGACACTGATGTTTGTGCCCAATATACCTTTTATTTTAATGGACAAGGTAAGCTACTCATATAGTGGCGGCTTATTATGTTTTATCCCTAGTAATATAAAAAATGTAAAAGTAGCTGCTGACCTGTCTGTCCGTTACGCTCAAACCAATGAACCCCAATTAAGTTTCAGTGAAATTTGGCATGGAGAAATTTTAAAAAGAAAGGACGGACAAAGGCTAGTTTTTTAACCGACATGCACGCGGGCAGAGCCACGGGCAGCTAATAGTAAATAAGATCATATATTAACAACATATTACAACTTAAACGAAATAAAAAAAAACAAATCACAATAACTTGTTTGAGAGATAAGATTCTAGATGCTCAAGTTACTATAAAATAATATTGCTACAGATTTCGTTGATTTTTTGAGTAGCGTTTGAGTAGAGTTTTGTTCTTCCATGTCTCAAGGCTAGGGCGTTAAAATAAGCTGTTTTCAGACGATGCATACAGACCCTATTTCGCTTTAATATTTATATTATATTATAATAAATAAGTACCGAGATCTGTACGGACTTATTGATCTAGTGGTTTGTGATCCTGACTGCTAAGTCAGGGGTCGTAGGCTGGGAATCGAACGTCTAGGTTCGATTCCCATCCCATCCATCCCCAACAATTGTATGACGATTGATGTGATGTGAACCATCTGTGATGTGTATTTAGAAATATATGTTCATCAGCAGCCTGGTTACCATAGAACAGGCTCTGCCTAGTTTGGGATCAGACGGGGGTGTGTGAGATGTTTGAGATAATTAATATAAGTTAGTCTTAATATATTACATTAGTTAATATATTACAGTTCAAACTTCTACAAGTACATTTTACTTAAATAGTTACAATTTTCAGTTGAGAACTCGACCTACTTTTGCACGAGAGCTGTAGACCAATTCGGCACTGCTATAACAAGTGGATGTCACCAACAAGTAAACGGGAGCTCTATAACAGAAATCTGTTTGTGCCGATCATTACCTGGTCAACCACCTTGTAACAACAGTTTTTTACCGTCTATTAACTTTTTAACAATTGCTGTAACTGCCATGGTATTTTTAATTCAATTTGTTGTAAATAATGCTTAGACGTTTGAATAAACTGATATTTAACACTGAATTAGCAATTTAATAACCTGTTTATGCTGACTTGCGACAAAGAACATAAAAAGACTAACTCGGACTCTGACGAAGATGACTAAATGTGTAATGGAGCGCCAACTATCCAGGTGATGAGGATGAAAATTTTGCCGTGTAGAGCGATGGCGGAAAGTTGCGGCTGGTATTAGTCCGAACAATACCTCAGAGCACTCTCCATAATATATGCAATAGATAATGCAGAGTGAAACCACATCTCTACGTCACGCCAGGGGATTCGAGTCGCTCTTCGTTGGATGCGGTCCAGAGGGAGACCCTGGTACTGAGGTGCCCCTGCGCACTTGCGCCCTATAGAGCTGACGGCGGTGGGTCGGAGTTAAATACTGCCTCGAGCTGTTCACCACAGCGCGCTTCTTCGAGGCCAAATTGCTTCTACTAAAAATATATATTTTCAGAGAAATATCTAGTATGTTAATTACTAACTAATCACATCACATCATCATCATCACATCAACAGCCTTTAACAGTCCACTGCTGGACATAGGCCTCTCCTTAGAAAGGAGGTTTTGGCCTACTATACCACGCTGGCCAGACGGGTTGGTATAGGGTTTGTTTCAAGTTTTCCTTCTCTTTGCAGTGCTGTTGTCCTGCGTGTTTCGCTCCCTTAGTCGCCTCTTACGACACCCACGGGATGATTAGGGGTGGTGACACTCTGTATTCTTAATCCGTCACCACACGGCAATTTACAATGGTAAATATTTTTATCTAACTAATCAACTTAGATAAAAATATTTACCATTGTAAATTTAAACAAAATCAATTGGTGAATACTTGGTTTTATAAGCTATTCTAGTATAAAGGTATATTTTTTGCTCATTTAGTCCTCGATCTCAACTTTACTGGAGGTAACACTGCAATCCAATACTGCAATGTTATATAATTATTCTATGCAACATTCTATTATGAAAATATTAATGCATTGATACATCATGGTAGTAATACTTTTGACTATAGAATAGGTGTTGTTTTTATTTACATGTTTTTCGCCACATATTGTTACATAACCTACTTAAAACAATTATAGAACCAAAAATCAAAGGAATTTCACAGCTAAAAATATTCCAAGTAAATATGATGTTACCATTTCAAAGTCTCATTTCAGAACTCGTTATCTCCAATAACAATATGTTATATTAGTCACAATTTCATTTCATTTTATTTTTGATTTCTAAACATTTTTAGACCAACTTATTACCGAACTGACTGAATAGGTATATCTGACAAATGACGTGTCCGAACTGTCACAAGCCAGCAACGTCAAACAATATTTTAAAAAGGCCTATTGCAGTGAATATTTATGCCACCACTGCAAACATTTTGAAATAATATCCAGCAAACGATAAAAAATGTATTCCGTACTGACAAGAGGGAATGCTATTTTAACATATACTTTGAGCGTATTAGCATGTCTAACCTTTTTGTGTTTTCTTTCCACACTAACAGTGGATTATAGAACCGCTGCACAGATGAACACAGTGAAAGTAGTCGTGTAAGTATATATTACCTACTTCGTTGTATATCCATGTAATTTTACACTAACATTTAATCACCCTTTACAGTAAAAACGTACCTGATTACGGAGCATCAAGAGAAAGGAATGATCTTGGTTTCCTAACTTTCGATCTGAAGACTGATCTTTCTCATCTATTCAACTGGAACGTGAAGCAACTGTTCCTGTACCTTACGGCTGAGTACATCACACCTAACAATGAGTTAAACCAAGTGGTACTTTGGGACAAAATTATTCTTAGAGGAGAAAATGCTCTCTTAGACTTCAAAAACATGAACACAAAATACTATTTCTGGGATGATGGCAATGGCTTGAAGTAAGTTTTGTTATTATTACCATTGTGTTCGTTATTCTAAAATATTCGTTATTCTAAATATTTCTTATTAAATGTTGAAAAAGTTAATATTCTTATTAATTGTTTACTTCTCATGTGCATAATGTATGCATTTGTGTCTACAAAGGTTTGTAAATATAAAATAAGAGGTTAATTAGGAATTACCCCTATTTAATTGCTATTGTTTGTCTAGGTGTTAATATACAATAACTGTATAAGACTACATTCACCTATATCCAAGTGTAACATATAGGATAATATCCACCTTACATTATGATCAGTTATTTATGTGATTATCTTTTACTAATCTATCTTCATTTCTCCATTACAGGGGCCACCACAATGTCACATTAACCTTATCATGGAATATCATTCCTAATGCAGGTTTGTTGCCAAATATTCAAGCTCTCGGCCAGCACTCCTTTAAGTTCCCCACAGACTACACTCAAACGAGGGTATGATCCATGAGCTACATTTGAATACTGTATCTTACATGAGAGGGATCTTAAAATTTATGTCACACTTAAATTAATATACTGCTTTTTCACCTTCAGTTTTATTTATACTTGTTCTTGTAAACAGTGTACATAATAAATATCTCAATTTCCTTGCAAAATAATAAGTAAAAATTGTTCTTCCTAGTTCATAATTATAAGCTGATAACTTGATATGTGTTTATCTACTATTGGAATGAGAGTGAAAGTCAAGTTTAAGGTATGAACTTTACTTTTGTATCATAATAAATTAAAGTTAGATAAGTATGACAAAAAAAATGTTCCATAAATGTGTCAATATTTCACTACCATTGTGACTTAATAGACATACCTTTTGTAATGAGATAATTTGTAGATAATAAAACTGATACCTTAATTTGTTTCTATTTATTATCCCCAAGAAAAGTATACAAACCTTGTTATTCAAAAGAATGTAACTTTAAATTTATAATAACTTCAAAGATTTCTTACTATACAATGATCACTTTGGTTTATTGTTTTGACATTGTTTATATACTATTGTGCCTGTCTACATATAGGAATGTAAAGAAGATCTTAATTCTTAAACAATAATGTAATAAATAGTGTGTCTTAAATTTACTATAAATGTGTTATGAATTCCTGTTTGGGATAGATTAGGATTCCATAAACAGCTGATTAGCAATTTGGTTCTTTTGTTCTAAGGAATAAACACAAACCTAATTCATTCACTCATATCTATGCATGTGTAGTGTTTGTAAGCTTACATTGGATACCATATTTAGTGTATGGGAGTACAAGAGTAAAAGACATCTTTAATTTTTTCTTTTATATCATATAATTATCAATTACATTTTAATTAAACATACATTTATCATTTTGCTCTACATTGTTGTTCTATAGCAGAAAAACTAGTGACCTCTACCACTGCTAAAAATAGAGGTGTTTAAAAAATGTAGATTTACACCAATTTTTAATTGGTAGTATCAGATATGAAATAATTATGTATAAGCGCCAACTAGACTTCATTTATCACTTAGAATTTTAAATAACAATAAGAATTGTCACTAAATATTTCACATTTGTTAACAAAATATTGAGAAGGTATATGCCCAATGATGAGGTACCATATAAATGCATGTGAACTAAGCAGAAACTTTAATCTAAATTTCTCATTTGAACTACATTTGTTTAGGTAATTTAAGACCTCATACAAGCATGTAAAGTTAATACAATAATATATATGTATGAATTATTATTATAAATTTAATATTTTGGAATCGTATTACGACGACTCTTAAGATATAATTTAACATCTAAATAACTAACTGTAAAAATAGTTTTCTAACAAAGATCTATTTTCTTTCAATTTGCTTCACTGTAAATATAAATGGTAGTAAAGGCTGCAATTTAGCAATTAGTTCTTAATTTTAAAATGAAAACGAACCACTTCAGCTATGCGATGTTAGCCAATCACATGCATGCAGGTGAAGCAAAATTGTTTCAACCAACATGTTACTACAAGTTCAGGGTGATAGACTTTATTATCTTGGTTTGCATGAGCGTCTACACTTAAATGCATTGAGTTTAAAAGTAGATGATCTATACCCAGTCATTAGCACTACCAGGAAACTATACAACAGCCTATAATGTAAAACACATAAATAGATATAGGCAACAAATGATTTGTGGAGTCCTGAACTGGGACTAATGCATATACATATATGTGTATGTCTTTACATCTCTTCACTTAATTCATGCCATTAACCATTAGACAACTTAAAAATAATCTTCAATTCATGTCAGTTTCCTCAGTAAATTCTAAGGTGCCCAGTAGCTATGTAATTAAATTGCAGCTTTATATTTTGGACAGATGAAAAAATTTTTTAATACTGCTCAAATTACTTGACTTTTCTGTCATCATTACATAGCTCATTATAAAAAAAATACGTTATCTATCGCGTGTAACTAGACCTAAGATATAATCAATATTATTAGGTCAAATATTGATGATCTGGTTATAACAGAAAAAAATAAAAATATTCAGCCGTACATTGTTTAAATTTTAATTATAATAGCAGGCCGAGGATGGAGACGCGACTGCGATGTGCCGATGTGCCATTTGTGCAAATGTGTAAACCTTACATGAACATAACACTAACCACTAAACAAGGGTATAAGCACTCTTAATTTTATCTTGAAAAAAATCTTATAAACTATGTAAAGAAAATCCTACTTAATCCAATATTCATTGTCATTGGTGATTAGTTAAATTGATTTGATAATGAAATAAACCACACAACCAGGTAAAATATTAAAGATAACATTAAACAGGTATTTATAACAATTTATGTCGTAATCGTAGTAATAGTTTATTTAAAAATATTTTGCTTCTAATATTATCGATCACTGATTTGTGGTAGTTCCCAATGAATAAAATATACCTACCCACAAGTATAGCATACGAAAATATTTTTCATGAAATGTATTATAACAATAAAGTTTACTTACATTTAACAATTCATAGAGTATTGCTTGCACATCTCTGGCATTATTAAAAATTTACCTACAAAGAATCGTCTACTATATTTCTCTACGTAATGCTAACATTCAAAGCGGTTACCGCTAAATTACATGGAAAAATATTGCATATCTTTAAGTAAACGTTTTACTGATGTATACTAGAACAATTTCCAGCACAACAATCAAACAAACGGATGATGAATTTTCTATGTTAACTACAATTTAACAACATGAAATAAAACATTTAAATTGTATGTTGAGTGTAAATACAGTTCTTGACCTGTTCAAATGAATTGACTAGTACATTGTGATTATGGGTAATATTACAATCGGACTATAAACATATTCAAATGCAGGTAGGGAGGTCCGCTCCCAAAAGAGTTCTGCACTGACAGAAGTAGGTTACGTATTTTATACTAAATTTAATTTAAAAACTCTAGGACAAGCTAAGAAATTACAATAACTAGAATTTAAAATATAATTACTGTAGGTACAAGTCGAGTATTACAATGTTGGCTTATAATTGAGATAAACATGTATTAAATAATTATATCTGAAACATGAGCCTCGATTTTCGATGTTATGGACTAAATAATGAGATGAATAACTTAGGACATCTATATCAAAACTCTGTAGAACATTTAATAATATGATTTCCTACTTAGTGTCCGCTACTCCAAGTTCTAATAATTTACTAGGATTCTCAATTCGAGTTAAGGTTGTATTTTATCTAATGTGATTCCCTTTTACCAACAATCGGTAGCCTTTAGATTTTTTTGTAACATTGTTCAAAACAAAATTAAGATTTATCTCATAACATGTGTACAATAATGCATTGTTATAACTGCATTATTGTACACAACGCCGATTTACATTGTGATGTAACTATACCTTGTTCTGAGTGCTATTTTTCCTATTTATGTGAACCTGTAACTACACAACATGTACCAAAAAGAATTATTTTTTTCTAATTAAACTGTAACCAGCTCAATCTACATAATAACCAACTGAGACCTTAGTCTGATATTATTTTGCTTGACTCAAGTTCAGATAGAGGGTATATTATGGCCCTATGAGCATGTGTATGAATTACCTATTAAGTATCATAGATATAATCCTTGTCTTTCAAAAATACGGGCAATTATATCACCATCCTAAACATAAAAAAAAGTCTTATAGGAAAGCATTCTTTAGAGGATATAATTCATAATGATTAAGGTAATTACAAATTATTCACCCAGAAGAAATGAACCTAAAGTTCTGCAGTCTAGTCACCCAACGGCGGTAAGCACAACACGAATGAAAGAATCTACAACTTAACAATGCCATACTAAAGATCAGTTTCTGCCATCCAGTGATTTGGTTCAACACATGGCATTATTACTAAAGACTTGCATGAACACGATACATTTTATTATTACACGTATAGATATAATGAGGTCTAACTTGAAACGTCGTAGATATACGTATTTAATAATATCTAACATCAAATATAACCAAAAGAGAAAATAACCTTTGTAATTTTTTCGCTGTATTTATTTGTAACAATTTCAGTGTTTAAAATAAATGAGATAGATACGTAATGTCAAAAGACCTAAGATCCAAAACATGAGTAACAATGAAATACATGTTGTATACTGGAACGGTGATCTTGTCAGCAAAACCTTGCCACCCTGCCTGCACATCTGACATAGTTTCACATCACATTTGCAACCATCAACGCACGACACAAAATGGACAGTAAGTACTAGTCGTAAATGGATGATATCCTGCTAGACATATCACAGCAAGTGCATTACAGTTAACCAACGAATGCCTCTACTTAAAGGTATTGGAATAAATCGAGGGAAAGGACACCCCAAACCGGGTCATATAGGACACCATCAGTTATCTCAGATTACAGACATATAATGCCGTCACACTGCCTTATACAACCGTACTGACTCTTCCGAGGAAATCACACGTTAACATCTAATGTGTAGTTTGACTGAGATTGGACACATAAGTTACGTAATCTAAGTATGTACACACTATTGAGTACAGAAGTCCGTGCTGTAAGGATTCAAATGTGCGGACAGGAGGTTTGTAGTCTACCTATGAGTGGGGCGGGGTTCCCGCACATTCACAGGCGGCAGGGCTGGGGCGCGGGCCGTCACGCGCCTGTGAGCGGCGGCCCGTCTGTCTGCACGTCCTTGTCCTCCGTGGGCGGCGCGGTGGCGCGGTCCGACCCGTATCTACTGGACAGATCCAACATTTCTCTCAAACCCTGCAAAAGTAATTAAATACACTTGTTTGTGTCAATTGCCGTTACGCTGCACAACAGTTGTTTTCAGTACTCTCGTACGGAACACAAGGGGGTGTGTTTTATACGCACTGTCGACTATTCACAATACTCCAGTTTTCAGCACTCACACACACTACGTAGATTAGTTAGCAGTCTAAGGTTATTTCGCATATATTATAGGCAGCAGTGAAGGTGTTAAATTGTGTAATGAATAACAAATATTTGCCACGAATGTGAGGTGTTAGGAGACAACATAAACACGCAATAGAACAAGAGCATAAATACCTTATTTTCTGTAATGAGCCTTTGGTACAGTTCTTCTTCTTTCCTAGCGTCACTGTTGTCATCCACATTGACCGCTTTGTACATGATGCTGGTCATCTCATTGATCCTCTCTGCTTGTTGTCGAATCAACTGCCAAAAAATCAAAAATTCAAGTCAAATAACAAACCATAAATCTACACATATTACATATTTTCGTAAGCAAACAGAAAACTATTACATTTTGTCTATATGGTATGCAATATATTAATAGGCTTCATTATCATGATAATGAAGGACAATTAATGATTCAGGCGAAATAAATTATTTACAACCTAGGAATTTACCCTATTAGCGAACATATTGCATACCATATAGACAAAATCAATAAGTATAATTGATTTGACAATGGCTAGGCATGACGTCACACTACAGCATTTCACACAAAAATGTACCACATCTGTCGTTTTGACGTTTAATAAAAAGATACTGATTTGCCTTGACAGTCGTCTACCCCATTATGGTGATGTTTTAATATATCGGGTTTGACGCAGTTCGTCCCATTCGTATTTGGTCTGCGACAATTTATTTCAGAAATAAACACTGCACTAACTGCAACATTTTATGAAAAAAGAAACATATTTCTACAGCTCTCAAAATAATGTGTCGTTTTTTTTATTTTTATTTGAATGTTGATTTTGAAATAATAAATGTAAATATTATAGCTGCATGTTTTTATTTTGTAGGTCAAAAATGTTGTCAGTGTGACCGTTTGAGAATGGGACCGTCTGCGAAAGGGACCGAATGTGAATGGGACCACTTGCGTCTAGGTGACCAAATGCGTCATGGACATAGACTCCCTAAGGTTCACACACAACCGGTCCTGTGCTGCCTTCATTCAACAACTTCCCGCGGCCTTCACCAGGTCTCACCAAACTCTCAGCATTGTCCTCTCCATTGCTCTTTGGGTGACTTTAAGCATTCTTTGTAAAGCGATGTTTTATTTAACCAAATTATGTTTGTTTTTTATAAGAAGTGCATTATTGTAATTAGGCACTTTTTAACAGATACAGAACTACACACTACATAATCTAGATTTTCTATTAGAATAGGTTTTCCAGTGACAGTGAAACAAGTCATAGCTAGTTTCATTAACATCATCATCATCAACAGCCTATAATAGTCCACTGCAGGACAGAGGCCTCTCCTTAGAAAGGATTTTTTGGCCTACTATACCACACTGGCCAAATGGGTTGGTATTGGGTTGTTTCAAGTTTTTCTTCTCTTTGCAGTCCTGCGTAGTTTGCCCCCTTAGTTGACTTTTACGATACCCACGGGACGAATAGGGGTGGTGACATTCCGTATTCTTAATCCGTCACCACACGGAATAGAATAGGTAGTTTGTGCAGTCATTACTGGAGATGCCACGAATAGTGAATTGGCCGAATATTCGGCAGATGAATATTCCGCAACACTTAGTACCTTTCGGGGTTTAACCCTAAATCGGTAAAATGGGCAACAAACGCAAAACAACAGAATTTGCTAAGATTTATTTATCATCTCCCGGAAGCAGTTGCACTGTAAGCACCTTTTTCCGAAGCAGGTAAAATTTATGAGGAAAAGCGCGATCGTTAGTTACTAAAAATAGTTTTAAATTATTAATATGATGTTATAGGTAAAATTCAAATCTTTGTGAGTTAACTATTCGGTGTTTTGCTAAATAGTTAAGAATATTCGGCGAATACCGAATAGTTGCCGAATATTCGTGGCATCTCTAGTCATTACAGAATATTATTTTTGGTGACCGACCAAAGTCTTGGTTTCGGTCAGTTTCGGCCAAAACATCTAATTTCGGTTTCGTCCAAAACTGGGGTTAGAGCCGCACCGTAACTTAATTTTCGTAAAGTGTTGTGCATCGTTTGGTTAACTTTGTGACAGCCCCTCCCTTGCCTTCCGACTGACGCAGGTCCTTGCCGGGCACGTCTGCTTCGGGAAGTACCTGCACTCGGTCGCTAGGAGGGAGTCCCGCCTATCACCACTGCAATTGCAGTGAGGACTCAGCTTAGCAAACGCTGGCAATTTGCCCGGCTTGGGCGTCGCAGCGTCCTCACTGCAATCATCGGGGGAGATCTCTAGCTACCGGCCGTCATACGCTCCTTGGCACGCTCCACGATAGTTGTTTCACCGCGTTTTTTTTATCTACCTACCTAAATACATTTTCTATTAATGACGTGTACCTTATTACAGTGGTTTAAATTCTTATGTGGGCGTAAGCAGATAAATGGCAAAAAAAATTCACTATATTTCAGTATACAATAGAAACTGATGATAGTTTGAGTTTCGGTTTCAGTTCCGGTTTCGGCCAAAAGTGAGACAAGGGCCAGTCAGTTTCGGCGGAAAACCTGTTTTAGTTGGACACTAATTATTTAATGAGCTAAATATCAATAGAAAGTTTAATTAAATACCTCTTGTTGCTTCTCATTTATAGCATTTGTAAAGTCTATTCTCGACTCCCATATTCTTTTCTCAGTATGTTGTCGATACTTGGACATGATCAATTCCAATGCTCGTCTGTGATCTTCTAGTGCCGCTCTGAGTTCGCCATTTTCCCGCTGAACATCTCGCATTAGCCGAGACTCTCTCTCAATACTGGCAATAAGGGCTCCCCTTGGACGCTCTCGCGATGCCTCATTTAGAGTGTCCACTTCTTCTTTATACTGAAATCATTGATTTTGATAAAGATCTGGTGTACATGATAAATTGACCTGATTCACATTACTTGTAGTCTTTTTTGATAACAAATTTTACAACACCCACACTAGGAACATATCATTGGGGACTTATCAAACATACTTGAAATATGCACAAAGAACACCCAGACTTAGAATAACAATTTGTGGATCACACAAAGTGTTATCCAATATGGGAATTGAACCCAGTCAGAACAACAGTCAGTGCAGAAGGATGTGGCGAGATGACAGCTTTAACTGCTACGCCATCCTTGCAGTAAAGTGCCATAATGTCTATTATGATAGCTACTACTGTCTGTGTGGTGACAGATAAAGAATACGGAGTGTCACCAACCCTATTCATCGAATGGCTGTTGCAAGAGCAGACTAAGGCAGCAAATTATGGAAGACAACATCACTGAAAGAAAACTTGAAACAAACCCAATACAAACCTGTCTGGCCAACAGGCCAAAACCTCCTTTCTAGAGGCCTATGTCCAGCAGTGAACTTTTAAAGGCTGTTGATAATGATGATGATGGAGTGTCACCATCATCAACAGTCAAGCCTGGGCTAACCTAACAGCAAAAATTGCATGCTCTAATACACAGACTATGTTTTTGACAACTTTTGTACGTACACCTCATAGACTAATTAAAATATTGTGGTCCAAATCTATTCTCCAACCATGCACTGAGAATTAATCTAGCGAATATCTTGAAACAAAAGGTTCTGGCTTCCCAGAAGGAAAGACAGTGGAAGGAATAGAATATTGCTTATATGGATAGCTTGGGGAATATCCATACTAATATTATGAATGCAAAAGTGTGCCTCTCTTTTTCTGTTCTGTTCTGTTCTTTGTGTCCATTACCTCATTACGCTTAAACCACTGAACTGATTAAGATGAAATTTTACCCAATAAATCATTCTCTAAGGGGGTAGAAGTTTGTATGGGGCATCTATAACTGCTGAACCTATTTAGATGAAATTTGGTATAGACATACTTTGATTCTTGAGGCTTTTGATTGAGGCTGATTCATAGCTAAATTTTACTGCGATAACCAACATTTACGCGGGCAGAACCATGGTCAAAAACTTGTTATAAATAAAATACACCCAGACACAGAACTAATGACCGTGCCCATAACACAATATTTGTCCTGGGTGGGAATTATAAACTTTTTACTGCAGTAACCAACATATACAACAATATTTTAGTAGCAACTTGAACTAGCTATTACCTAAAAGAATACTCCAGTATCTAGTTGTTACCATTAACCACCTTTTATTACTAAGACTGCTTTGCAAAACACAGTTTAAATTACTATGTACCAAATTAGGCTATAAAATTACTACTGTTAAGATTCAACATAAATAATACTCCTTCCAGTGCTTGTATACTTCAGGTGGCTATGATATTTTATGTTTATCAAGAATGACTGTAATGGTATGAACATCAAAATTAGTGTCTGTTTCTGATTCTTACGAGTAGTTACTATTGCTTCTATTAAAAAAGAACTTTATTATAACTAAGTTATAAATTGAATAAAAGTTCAGTGATACTTTTCACAGCTATACCATTTCAATAACTTACTATATGACATGTTTGACACATTAATTGTGAAAGCTTCATTGTTTACACTACATGTGAAAAAAAAACACTCCACAAGGTCATGTAAATTAGATAACTTAAGTAATTTAAAGTAAAATTGGCAACTGCAGCCGTATTCTTACGTAGCGGATGCCGTTATTAGGTTGCTCTAATAAAGATTTAAAGTTATTATTGTAATGCCATACACCATAGCAATGGCCTACCTGTTTCATTGTGTGAATGTGTCTGTAAGCAGTTTGGGTTTCGGTTAGTAAAGCATCAGCTTCTGTTTCTCGCTCTTTAAGACGTCCTGCGAGTCGCTTGGCATCCAAAATTATTTGCTGTATGGTCAGTGACATCTGAAAAACCAGCAATGTTGAAAACTCATAACAGAACTAATCCTATTATCGATTTTAAAACATAACTGCACTAACCCTGATATCCACACACAACTATAGCTCGAATTCCGTATCATCTAAGTAATTTTCAAAGATTTATTCAAATAAAACACAATTTTATAAGGAAATCTAAAAGACGCATATCAGCTGTTTCGTGATTAGAGTACAGCAGCCATTAGCTTTCATTTCACTTGAAGCGGAATATTATGCGACTAAGTAAAAACGTCTAATAAAACTGGTCTTTTAAACAAACAACGTATATAATACACTGTGTATCAAGAAGAGAAAGATATTATATCCATTAATATCCAATTCTGCTTAGTTATGCCGTGACATGACCTTGATCAGAGAGAATTGAATGAAGAACTTTCAATGCTGCGCAAACAAGACTTACTTGTTAGAATCGCAGTGTTATGTAGTATGACTAGTCAATGCGGGTTACTTTGTTTCATGAATCTAAATAGTTTAATAATACCTTATTATAACTTATTTTAAAGAAACCTCATTAAAGTAATGTAATCTATCTGAATGACCACTTATATAAATAACCCAACTGTTATTGTTGGTAGCATTTTTAAACACATTCGATATCGTAGTGTGTCTTACTCCGTATCGAAGGTTTGCAAAAACTAAGTGCGGACAACTTAGTGTTAAGTTGCGGCGCTTTTTAAGTGTTATAATTTTAGTACGACATTAATTCTTTAGTCATATTGTACGTATGTATATAATAAAAAGATTTAATTTTAGTACAGTCTTTAAAAATGTAAGTACCTATATTTAATTAAAATCTTTAGTAGAAACTCTAACTAACTAGAGATTTTAAAGAAGTTTGTTTAATATAACTTCTGAATTGCAAACAGATTGTTTTCAGGTGAGCAAAAACAAATACGCCGCAAAATATCTCATGACTGTTTGACAAGAGGCGGTTAAGTATCAAAATCACCCTAGGCATCCACCGGTGCCCTGTGTTGCACTGTGGTCCTGGGTAAGTATCTCATCAGCGCCCCGCACCTCTGTAGCGCCCATACGGTATTAAAAATATTTAATATATTCACTATAGTATGACTATAGCGGTCGTTACTAGATGTGTGCAAGTGATTACTTCAAATTTTAGTTAGCGTTAAATACTCCACCTTTTTTCTTTTTTTACTTTTGGAAACCCCCTTTGGCCGTCACCCCACCGGGGTTTTTGGTGGGCGGTGTATGGCGCTGCCACCCTGCCCACTCGACGTTGACCGGCTGGAGCGACTCAACGGTGGCTAAACCGGAGCCTCCAGCCGGTACACGCACTAAACTCAGTCTTCGAGCGTTTCAGAGCAGTAAAAGCAAACAAATAATATCAATAACGTAATATTAGCATTCCTGATAGCATTAGCGACTGCAGACTTCGTAGTACAACTTTGGCGAAGAATGTTAACTGTACTCCTAAAACCTGCATCCCGCCATTCACAACCTTCTTCATTTATTTTTAAGGACCTCTCATCAGCGACTTACGTTTTTCTACGAGATGATACAGTTCGACGTGTTTTACAGCCACCGTACGTAAGTCCATAACAGCTCATTGAACGGGCTAGTAATGGCAAGACTATGACCCTGGATATTAAAAGTAAATATGTCATCGTTAGTATAGACCGAGTGAAGCCGGCCTTTATGGAATATGACGCTGTTTCTACTCAAGGCTTAATATAACCACAGCATGTTTCACCACAAACTTATGTTCCCAAATAACAACTGCCACTTCTGGTAAACTGCCTTATATCACTCGGTCAGGTGAGTTAGATTTAACTAATTCTTCAATTTTAGTTAAATAATAATTATCGTCCTCCGTGGAGGTGGGGAGTGCAACGTTATGTCAACACATTGTCATTGTCACGAAGTTGTGAGAGATTGGTGACATACGGAGTGATAAAAGATTAACCACAGAGTACATTGTAATATACTGAAAAAGATTACCTGCGAAGTGAGTCAGAGGCAAAGCAATTTTTCACCAGCCATCTCTCACGCACAATTACCGGTTGTTCCCCAAAAACTTGTAAGCATCTCTATAGAATTAAAGAATCGTTTAAATTGTGTAAGCAGGCGGATACTTACTAGTACAATTCATTTAAGTAATGGTTGGAATATATTTTCTCTTTGTTTAAAAATTCTGCGCCTAAAGCAACCTTTGCTTAGCCTAGTTTGCCTTAGGGATAATCCGCCACGGAGCACATAGCCCCGTCAATGGCCTCCTTGGCCAAAAACGACAGGGAGAACGGGGATGATCTTCCGCCCGTCCGGGATTCGGAGGTAGGGGCGGCTGTTCTACGGATCCGTTCCAAGAAGACCGCCCCTGGGTCAGACGGGATACCGGCCCGAGTGCTGGCCCTAGCCCTCAACTACATGGGAGACCGCCTCGGGGAGGTGTTCGACGCCAGCTTGGCGTCAGGACATTTCCCTGAGTGCTGGAAAAGCCGGAAGCTGGTCCTATTGAGGAAGCCGGGACGGCCTGCCGATTCGGTCGCGGCCTATAGGCCTATCGTGTTGCTGGACGAGGCGGGTAAATTGTTTGAGAGGGTTCTCTCTGCCCGCATCGTCCGGCACCTCCGCGAGGTGGGCCCCTGTTCCCCCGGGCTGGGTGTAATTTGTTACGCCGATGATACATTGGTTACAGCCCGGGGAGTGAACTTCCAAGAGGCGGCACGTCTGGCCACCAGGGGAGTCTCTCTGATGGTCGAGCGTATTGAGGCGCTGGGCTTACGGGTGGCCCTGGACAAGTCCGAGGCTCTCTTATTTCATGGGCCCCGTCGTGGTCCTCCCCCTGGCGCCTCAATCGTCATCAACTCGGTCCTAGTACCAGTTCAGGCCCAGATGAAGTATCTGGGCCTGATCCTCGACGTGAGGTGGCTCTTCGACGAGCACTTCCGACAGCTTACTCCAAAGCTGGTCGGCGCTGCGTCTGCCCTTAGGCGACTTTTGCCAAATCTGGGTGGACCTAGCGTCGCAACGAGACGGCTGTACACGGGGGTTGTCCGGTCAATGGCACTGTATGGTGCACCGGTGTGGGCGGCGACTCTGACCGCCCAGAATAGGGCACGCCTCTGGCGCCCTCAGAGGATATTGGCGGTTAGAGCCATACGCGGTTACCGCACCGTTTCGACGGAGGCGGCGTGCGCATTGGCCGGTACTCCCCCGTGGGATTTGGAGGCGGAAGTGCTCGCCGAAGTATATCGGTGGACGGCTGAGTACCGGGCGGATAGAGGCAGTCAGCCCCCGCCCGAAGAGATACGTGAGTGGCGTGAGGCCGCTCGTCGAGCCACGATAGCCTGTCACCACTGCGATTGCAGTGAGGACTCGGCTCAGCACACGCTGGCAATTTGCCCAGCTTGGGCGCCGCAGCGCCGGGTCCTCATTGCAGTCATTGGGGGGGATCTCTCGCTACCGGGTCATACGCTCCATGGCCGGTAGTGACAGATGTTTCACCGCGGTCGCATCCTTCTGCGAAGACGTCATCTCGCAGAAGGAGGCGGCGGAGAGGGCCCGGGAGGACAACCTCCACTCGGACCCAATCCGCCGCCGGCGAACCGGGCGGCGGAGGCGCGCCTACCACCGCCTCATGCCGCCCTGAGTGTGGCGGCGGGTGGACGGGACGGGTTTTCCCCTCCACCCGCCATAACGGCCAGCGCGAGGAGGCGATGTCCGCGTGTGCCGAACGTCGCCTAAATGGAGATTGTACCCGAAGGTGGTGCCTGCGCCGTTGCGGGCAGGCGCTAGAAGGGGTCCGGATGTCTTAATAACAGCAGTTGGGACTAATCCCACCCACACGCCCACCACTGTAACTCCTGTACACCAGGATCCACAGCAGTGACCCACGAACACACCGAGTTATGACACTCGGGAAGTCCCAGGAAGAAATTAAACTGTCTTGGAACCCGCAACGAAATTAATCAGAAGAAAATTGGAGGAGTTGGAAATACAGTAAATCCACTTCCCTCCTTAGCAAAGCGGGAGACAAAATGAAGTAAAATGGGCATACACCCTTTTAAACAGGGAAGCACCACGGCCACAAATATTACGGGTCCTACGTGAGCTATGTTTGATTTCTATAATATGTATGGCAGAATCGCCTAAACGCACGGAAATTCACCCTAGTTGACACAAGATCCCCATAGTATACCGCCCTAGATGTCACCTGCAAGCTATTCAGCATTATATTACGTTCATTATACCAAAGACTACATTCCCAGAGGATATGATGAGCAGACTGTTCATAGTGAGAGTTAGGTGCTGAGCATTGACACAACGGTGACTCGACTAATTTAAATGAATAAAGCTTGCTCTTAAAGTTACCATGACCCGTAAGAAATTGAGCGACACAGTGATCCACCTCAAGCCATATCCTCGACAACCGTTCGCGAACAGACGGAAAGAATTGGTAAAGATGGCGCCCCTTGGATGATTCATCCCAGCGTTGTTGCCATTCGTCTATGAGGTCATTATAGACATCGGGCTGCTGTTGTAGTAGTAGTTGTAGTTGTTGTAATTTTACCGCGATCCCGCGCGCCCAAAAAGTCGCATTCCATGTTTTGTTGTCTTGAATAGTACATGGCTGCACGTCTCTGCACCTCGAGATCGACCGGAAGCACACCCGCCAACACCGGCAAAGCCTCAGTGCTAACCGTCCTATATGCCTTACACAAGAATATCAGTGCAAGTCGTTGGCCTTGTAACAGTTTGCGACGGACAGCGCCTACGGTCGCCCTATCGGCCCATACAGGTGCACCATAGCACATAGAACCTAAATAAGTAGCTCCGTATATGATCTTTAATGTATTAAATGATAGACCCCATGTCGCAGTTGATATCCTTGTCAATGCACAGAAACTCTTTTTAGACTTTTCATTAACTATTTTAATATGTTCGATAAATGAAAAGTTTCTTTCTAAAACTAATCCTAGATAACACACTGTAGTTTTATTTTTTACAGTAACATTGTCAAATCTAATGCTCGGTGGTGATTTGAGGTTACCTTTTAAAAGTAGCTGGAAGGTTTTGTTGGGTGCAAAAGTTAAGCGATTACGTTCACCCCATTGAGATATCAAGTTCAAACATCTATTGGCTAATCTCTCAAGCCCCGCCCTAGTATCAGATTCCACCAGTAATAAGCCGTCATCAGCATACGCGTTCAGAGTACATCCGGATGGTATTGGTATCGCAAGAAAATCGTCGAAGCCGATATTCCACAAGTATGGACCTAGCACCGATCCCTGAGGACATCCCATTGTAAGCGCCTTCGACACAGAATGATGACCAAGTCTTAGTTTAGTTGTACCTTGTGAAAAGTACGAAGAGATAAGGGAATAAATATTTTTAAAGCACCCCCGTGATTTTAATTTCAGCAACAGCATGGGCCACCATGCGTTGTCGAAGGCGCCAGATATATCTAAGAAGATAGCCAGCACGTATTGAAATTTTGACTCTGTGACAAACTTTCTAACCGATATAACAGCGGTTTTTTTTTTTTTTTTTTTTTTTAATGGGACTAATCCCACCCACACGCCCACCACTGTAACTCCTGTACACCAGGATCCACAGCAGTGACCCACGAACACACCGAGTTATGACACTCGGGAAGTCCCAGGAAGAAATTAAACTGTCTTGGAACCCGCAACGAAATTAATCAGAAGAAAATTGGAGGAGTTGGAAATACAGTAAATCCACTTCCCTCCTTAGCAAAGCGGGAGACAAAATGAAGTAAAATAGGCATACACCCTTTTAAACAGGGAAGCACCACGGCCACAAAATATTACGGGTCCTACATGAGCTATATTTGATTTCTATAATATGTATGGCAGAATCGCCTAAACGCACGGAAATTCACCCTAGTTGACACAAGATCCCCATAGTATACCGCCCCAGATGTCACCTGCAAGCTATTCAGCATTATATTACGTTCATTATACCAAAGACTACATTCCCAGAGGATATGATGAGCAGACTGTTCATAATGAGAGTTAGGTGTTGAGCATTGACACAATGGTGACTCGACTAATTTAAATGAATACAACTTGCTCTTAAAGTTACCATGACCCGTAAGAAATTGAGCGACACAGTGATCCACCTCAAGCCATGTCCTCGACAACCGTTCGCGAACAGATGGAAAAAATTGGTAAAGATGGCGCCCCTTGGATGATTCGTTCCAGCGTTGCTGCCATTCGTCTATGAGGTCATTATAGACATCGGACTGCTGTTGAAGCAATCTTGTAATTTTACCGCGATCCCGCGCGCCCAAGAAATCGCATTCCATGTTTTGTCTTGAATAGTACATGGCTGCACGTCTCTGCACCTCGAGATCGACCGGAAGGACACCTGCCAACACCGGCAAAGCCTCAGTGCTAACCGTCCTATATGCCTTGCACAAAAATATCAGTGCAAGTCGTTGGCCTTGTAACAGTTTGCGACGGACAGCGCCTACGGTCGCCCTATCGGCCCATACAGGTGCACCATAGCACATAGAACCTAAATAAGTAGCTCCGTATATGATCTTTAATGTATTAAATGATAGACCCCATGTCGCAGTTGATATCCTTGTCAATGCACAGAAACTCTTTTTAGACTTTTCATTAACTATTTTAATATGTTCGATAAATGAAAAGTTTCTTTCTAAAACTAATCCTAGATAACACACTGTGGTTTTATTTTTTACAGTAACATTGTCAAATCTAATGCTCGGCGGTGATTTGAGGTTACCTTTTAAAAGTAACTGGAAGGTTTTGTTGGGTGCAAAAGTTAAGCGATTACGTTCACCCCATTGAGATATCAAGTTCAAACATCTATTGGCTAATCTCTCAAGCCCCGCCCTAGTATCAGATTCCACCAGTAATAAGCCGTCATCAGCATACGCGTTCAGAGTACATCCGGATGGTATTGGTATCGTAAGAAAATCGTCGAAGC